ACGGAAAAGCTCTGACAAGCTCTCACAAGTCTGTCACGCTTTCATTTTTACTCGCTTAGTGAAGAATGTCAGAGAGAGAAAAAATAAATAAATAAACACTCCGAACGTTCCTAATCAGAATAATAATAATAACTTTATTAAATTCCTCAAAAAGGCTTTTCAGCTTAATTTACAATGTCAAATATCTAAAACTTAGTTTTCCAAAAATACCGTTAAAAAGTGCTGTTTTATTTTAACCTTAAATACATCTAAATTAGTGATAGTGATTTTTCTTGGGTTTTACCCCTCACCCTTTGCTGTCTAACTCCTTGTCCAAACTCCTTGGCGAAAAACCTAAGTTCCTTAGCCTCTTCCCTGGTTTGATCACTCTCTTCCACGGCATGCACAATCGTTGCCTTACAGCGTTCATAGAGCCATTGAGGTAAGAGTTAGTAATAAGCTAGCTCAATATCCTACGATTCATGTAATAAACAGGTTCCAATCGATTTGAAGTAAACGAAGATCACCCCCATTCTTTTAACACGAAATTTCTGCGACCTCTTTCCCGGTATGGATTGATAGCATGAAAAGCTATGAAAGTGATGGTCAAGGGCTTCGAAAAAAGTGGACAGAAGTAAAGTACGCTTTAAATACTTTTTGGTTACTAGAATAAACAGTATCTAAACACTGATCTAAAGATCGAGGATGAGCATTTAGCGTTTTATTTCTTCTACTGCCCACAATATTCTCGCTTATTCGCTTGCTTGATATCTGTAATAGTACTCAGTGATTGACTTGCTGATACTTGGTGACAATGTGGTGATGTACTCGACCGCGTGACTTTTACATGCACCGATCAGCTTATCATATAACACAGGGTATCAGATTTACAAAAAACGAATTAGCTTTACCTTGGTCGTTGATGCATTTCATGTCTGTGATGACGATTCGGTGAACGAGATCTTTTTGACTGAGATTTCCGAGATCTGCGTAAAGAGAAATGTCCTTTAAGATCTGTCAAGGACAATGTATGTGATACATTGTTCTCTAATATATAGATTTAGCCAGGGCTAAAAGCGAAGCTCCCATTAATAAATTTGTAATTTCAATCAAACAATAAACTTTTATTCCACAAATCAGTTCACTTTAGAGCACATTCATGTGACTTTTGTTTTGAGGGATAAAGGCTAAGTGATTTGAGAGAAAAATAATTTGCTAACAGTCCAAGAGTGCACCAAACCTTACATCGAGTTGACGGCCTTAAGTACACCCAAAAAATAGCAATCATCTACGATTTCATTTAACGTCCATAATGGCTCTTGATCACAGTACATTAGGACTGGAAAACAAATACTTGGAAAGCAAATCCGGCAGAATTTTTTCCGTTTGACAAGTTTGCTTTACAAAATCTTGCTAACAAATCTGGGGGCGTGTAAACCAACCTTTTTGTACTATGAGGCGCTGTTTTTATCATACAGACCTCAGACAGAATGCAGTATTTCACAGTTTTGAAATATAAATTACACTCATTCAATATTCAGGACGATCGAAGCACGCGTGGGCTTTTAGCGAAACCGCTAAAAAAATTTCTAAAATCACCTATATAACGGCCAGCCAGTTGCAAGCTGTGGAGTGTTTGAATGAACATTAATAGAGTTACACTTCAACATAATAAAGAATTTATTGTGTTTTTTTTTATTTAATGGTTTTATAACACAAGCGTTTAAAACGCGCGACGTTTTGAGTACTCCTGCAACTGAAAACATTAACGGCAAATTGCAAGAGAGACTACTAACAATCAATAAAAGAAATATAATTCGGTGAAACATTTACACTGTAACAGAGACAACAATTTTCATTCACGAAGACAATTACGTATTAAAGTGTCTCTAAGAATCCTGAGTCTTTATGGTTAAAGCCTAAGTTTATGTTTTAAAGCCGGCTTCCCGGTGTTTGTTGTTTTCAAAGATGAACTCGAGGCGAGAAAATTGCTCAAAGCTTTCTTTCTACAGCCAAAATAAAAACGCAACGTTTTTTTCTTTCTATTTGCGGTGAGAAAATATCGACTAAAGACTTTTTAAAGTTCTGCAAGCTTAAATCAAACTTCATACTATAGGTAAGATGATTATCTCAAATCTTAATTCAAACATGCATAAACTATAGCCTCATAAACTGCGCTCGGCTTCATGAAATTAGATATATAAAAAAAAACAAACACAAATACAATAATTACTCAGGCAGCTCCTGGAAGCTACATCGCTTCATACTTTTCAATCAAGCAAGGTGAGAAACGAAAACGAATCGATGCCATCCGAAATCGGATTTCCGACTTTGACAGGCGACGTATTTCTCAACCAAAAACCCAATGGACAAAATAGCCATGAATAACAGAAGACTCTTGATAGTAGCTGAATTTCATTTCGTACATCCAGTAGAACAAGACAGTTAAAAACATCACAAGTTGACACAAAACTCTGTCAGCTTCAGCTGTCACAGTAAACAAGTTTCAAGATGCTGCATAAATTTTCCTCATGAACTCACCTGTCATATTTTGACCAATCAGAGCATAAAAATTGGACGTAGAGCGTGACCAACGCGTTCACGGACAACTAAAAACAAAGAAACAAAGAAATATAATACGAAGAAACATTTAAAGGTCAACAATTTTTATTCCCGAAGACGTGTTTTGAGAGTAAAGCTGAGTCACGAATAGATTTAAATTAAGCCTTAAGTTTTAAGCCGCCTTCGCCGTGTTTGCTATTTTGCAAGATGAACTCCAGGCAAGAATATCGCTCAAAGTTTTCTTTAACAAACAATAGGATAACTAAACTATTTTTCAGAACTTTTTCTTCTAGTCGCGGTCAGAAAACGTCTAAAGACTTTTTAAGTTCTTTACTAGATCAGATACATTGATTCAAACCTTACTAATGTGCGTAAAATGACGGCATAAACATGAAAAAAGAAAACACATAAAAAGCAATAAAATTACTGAAGCTTACCGGTCGAGATGCAGCACGGAAACCCATCAAGTAAGGCCAGAATCGCTTAAGATTTTTCGCAATGTCCAGCAAGTCGAAGCAAGCTTACTAAGAGTAGCTTATGTTTGAAAACGATGATTCCCGATTTCTTTTTGTCGTGCGGCGGATTTCTCAACCACAACCCAGTAAACAAGCCAGCCAAGAATAACAAAAAATGTTGATAGCTGCTGTATTTCATTCTGTAGATCCAGTGCAAAAAGACAGGTAAAAACATCAAAAGATGACTCAAAACTCTGTTAGCTTCAGCTATCAGTGAACAAGTCACAGATGCTGCATAAATTTTCCACTTGAATCCTCTTCGCTAGCGCGCCTGTTAATTCTCACTCTATGCCTTTCTCTTCTTCTCTTTCCCGTCGCTTTTCACTTACAAGCAAATAGTTTGAATCCAATCCGCTATTGTTTGTTGCCATAACAATTTCTTCCAAAACAGTTTACTAGAAACTGAGCTCCCCGGACAAAATCCTTATGCAATGAGGTAGTTCCGTTGAAGTAAACATGTTTTTGAACGCGACGACAGCCACGTCATTTCTTGCGCGATTTCCCGCCAGGAAACAGGTGGGTTGCACATTGTGGTTGCACAAATGCATCGCGCGGTTTATAACATACTCCTCCCCCGGACGGGCTGACACCTGATTCCCTTCCCTCCCCCGCAAAGAGTGTACGGGCGTACGCTACGTCATAACCAAATTTTCTCGGATGGATGGTTTACCAAATTTTACCAAATTTTTATTATATGTAGGGCAAAATGACTGGTCTTTCATCTGAGCCCGCGAGATGGTCATGTGATAATTGTCAGCGGATGTCTGATTTTGACAGCTGTCAATCTAATTGTACTCATACGGATGGCTTACAAAACTGAAAGGCTAGTCAAGTTGTGCAAGATCTATTGTGACATTTGACATCGGCTTACATGAAGTGTGTGTACGGACGGGCGGGCGTACGTTACGTCATAACCAAATTTTCTCGGATGGATAGTTTACCAAATTTTGTTACCCATGGTGCTCCGCTGCGCGCGCTTCGCGCGCGGGAGCTCCGCTATTAGTCTATTTACTCCTTCTGACACAGTTGCGCATTGCAAAAGTGAAGACCTTGTCACGATTTTTGAAGCCATAACCGCGTGAGAAATTACAGTGTTTCTATGAGAATCTAATGTCAAATAATTTATCCAGCTGAATAGAGGAATTAGTAGAACACTTAACTGACCGGCTTGAAGATCGCCTTCGGCTCGCTGATCACTGTGACCGTTCTCTCGGTTCTCTCGCTGGCGACCAGGAATAGGAACGTGATCTGGAAATATAAACAACAGTGGCCTTCAATTTGCGCGCAGTATTTTACAACCATGATCTGAACAGAAAAATATGGCAAGAGTGTGGTAAAAATTGCAAAATAGTAGTTAGATTTTCATACCGTCGTTCTCGAATTCTTTTCCTTGACTTGCCCATCTTGCTCTTCTTCGAGAGTCCGACACAGCGGAAACCGCAAATGCGCGAGTAACTGCAATATGACCAGGTTTTATGAGCCTGCGAGAGTGAGCACCCCAGCCAAACCCTTGTTTTCAGTAAAACCGCTGGACGTCAACTATGAAGTACGAGTAAGGTAGGCTTTAAAACTGCTGATTGCGTGACGGAAGCGCTAAAATATTATAAAGCCAGGTTTAAGCTTTTTCATTAGACCTGAAAAGAGGTCTTTTTCCTTGCAAAACGAAGTATTCTAGTTTCTCATTAATAATGAAGTATCTGAAAAGCTCGATCCATGATCCCTCGAAGACACACACAAAAAATGGCTGATCCTGATCCCATGACTTGTGACCCGGGATCCTGGGTCTATGATCGCGATCCCGGGACTGTGATCCCTGATCCCATATACCTGGTTACGACCCTGTTACTAACTTTGCGCGTGCCTGATAGAATATTGTGAGCTATTGTGCTTGAACTTCACAATTTTGCCAGAACGTCGATAGCTATTTTCCTAAATTAGTTGAAAATGCACTCAGAACAAGCAAGCGACGTAACTCTGGTACTAAAAGATGGTAAAGAGATTAGAGTGGATGGGAACGAACTTTCAGCAGCGAGTGATTTCTTTTCCACGCTTCAAAACACCGACATGAAGGAGAGAAGGGAAGGAATTATTCGCTTAGAACATATTAGCGAGAATGTTATGAGAGATGTGCTAGAATTTGGGCGCTCGGGGACGGTACACATAACGAATGTTCAACATGCTCAAGATCTTTTCAAGGCAGCAGATTATTTTCTTATTCCAGGCTTGAAAAAGGCGGCTGAGGGGTTCTTAAAGATATTACAACCTTCAAACTGTGTTTCAATTTATTGTTTTGCGACACGATATCCATGCGAACTTGCGGTCACCGCAAGAGAATATATCTTTGAAAACTTCGCCGATGTGGCTGAATCTCAAGCGTTTCTTCAACTGGAAAGCCAAGAAGTAGAGAAGTGGATTTGCTGCGATAAAATAGTTGTGAGCTCCGAAGAAGTTGTCTTCAGGATCATTCTCAACTGGATTAAACAAGCAAAGAGCGAGAGAAAAGGAAAGTTCTTAGAGTTATTTCGTCACGTGCGACTGGCCTTTATATCGAGAGGCTATTTGAAGAAATATGTTGTGACTAACCGCTACGTGAAAGAGAGTTCGAGCTGTTTAAAGCGCGTTAAAGTCGCTTTGAAAGGGACTTTTCCTGTAAGCGAGGAAGGTCAGCTGTCTTCTAGAAACTGGAGCGATTTACATCTCGACAAATTAATTTACCGGAAAGACGACTTTGTGTTAATTATGACCCCGTAACTGAGAAAAATGGTACAAACCGTCATATGCACATGATATATCACGTGTACCAAATGAGGTCTGCAGGTACTCATACCACGGCAAACTAAAATAATTTCATATGAAGTCCTTTCAAGAACAACTGTATCTTTTTCCGAAACTGTCGCCCAGTTCCGAATTCGACACATGTCAGTATATCCAATATGATTCGTCCTTAAATCTTTGGACGACTTCGACAAGTGCAGAAGTACAAAAGATCAATGTTGTGACCGTCGTTGAGAAACATATGTACTCTTTTCACACGGCCACAAACAACCGGTCCATTTCTAAATACGACGCTTCTTCAAATACTTAATTGGAATGTTGTTTCTTCAGAACAGGAAACTTCTTCTATCGATGATCAAGTCTGTTGTGTACCCCTGGGCGACTTTCTTTGGGAGGACAGGAAGATCAACCATACCCCATAGCACAACTGAGAGCTACAAAAGAAGATTTAACACCGTAGAATACAAATGGGAGCGAATCGCAGATATGCACGTGGGGACTAGAAGTGGTTGTGGTGTACTGAGCACATGGGCAAAATCTTTGTTTTTAGTTATGATTGGTCTTTATCAATAAGCTTTCAAATGTATGATATATCATGCAGTCAGTGGCACAAATTGGCATTGCGTTTGAACATGCAGAAAGCCGACCGTCAAGAACGTCCCTTTGGGGTAATTGTCAGTAAGACCGTTAGGAATGGTATATTTAAATGGCTTACTTTATATAGCTTATTCAGAAGATTCTCTCCAATTGCATGACCCTGCAACATTTCGTGAGAGCTATGACATTATGACTAATAAATGGAACAAAAGCCGTGCACAATTCCAATTACTTCAAGGTTTGAATGCGTTATGCGAGGGCTTGGTCACTCCAAATCCCTCAAGAACTCACTTTCTGAACCCTTTCTCCATCACAAAGGGGCCTGAACTGAGGGGACCGCTGCGCAGAGAAATCGAAAGAGCACATACAAGTCCGTAACAAGAAAGTCGTTCACAACATTCACCCTGTAAAAACTGACAAGTTATGGTAACTATTTTAAAAGGTTATAACCAGTTACACAGGTAATTTTAACCTATAATAAAAAATCATAGACCTTGTGATAGTTTTCGTGACGGTTATTGTAAAGTCGCAAATGCGGCTTAATAAACAGTTACATTATACGCCTCGAGTTCCGTTAATAGTCCACCACTGTCTTATATGCAAGTCCAGTCCCTTTTGCCTCGAGTGTTAACCTCATTTGGCATCTCATTATCCTGCATTAAGTCCCTTGAGACCCGACACTACATCTCCCCCCTTTTTTCTAGTGTGGCTCAAAGTCGCTGTAAATAGTGTTCCAAGTAGACGTTCTTGTTAGCGCTGATCTTCTTCGCCCGCTTACTGCAGTACTGTCTGGCTGCTTTAGGTGTCGCTCCGTTTCCGTCGCTCCTAAGGATCTCGGTGGACCATCAGGCTTGTTACGTTGACCGCCAATTGTCAACTCACTGGATGCGCCGAGGTTATCAGGTTGCAAACGCAAATCTTCCCTGGCTCCTGTTTCAGTTTCTTCCGCGCTGGATGTATCCAGACCTTCTTGGTCCAAATCCACAGCTACGTACTCATCCTCCCCCGCTTGCTTCAGCAACTTACAATGGGATGAATTCCTCGATTTAATCTCCCTACCCCTTTTCACGGTGATCATACTTCCTTTCACGCCTATTACTGAGAAGGGTCGGGGGTCAAATGCTGGGGTCAGAACATCTACTTTGCTCTGCTTCAAAAGAACTTCGTCTCCAACCACTATAATAGGCTCTCCCGGGCGTTCCCTCTCTTGTCCGCGTACTCTTTCATCTGCTTCTTTTTAGCCGCGTCTCTTTGTCTGATTGGGTCGTATGGAATTTCTCCTGCAGGTACGATCCTTTCCGGTAGCTTCCTCCGTAGCTCTCTGTCGAACATGAGCATGTCAGGGCCTTCCTTTTGTCGCTGGGTGGGGCGTGGTGCGATAGCTGCCAACCGTTCTTTGCACTCCCTCCCGAATAGCTTATCCTTCAAGTTTATAAATTCTCGCACCCTTCTTGAGGATTTACATGAAACGCTCCAAGCCACCATCAGCTTCCGCGCACCTAGGGGTGACCTTTCGGTGTCGGCACCCTTGTTCCTGAGCAAAGTTCGCAAACTTTGATCCATTAAACGGAGGCCCATTATCCGTTTTCATCTCTTCGGGGATTCCGTACGTGTTGAACACGTGCGTAAATAGGGAAATGACGTCATCAGTAGAAGTACTTGATGTGAAGTCAACGACCGGATACCTGGCATACTGGTGCCAAAAGACCAAAGCCATGTCTTTGTTTCGTAAAGACCCAGCGAAATCTACACTGACTTTTTTCCACGGACCCCCTGGCAAGTCTGTCATCTGTAGAGGCTCTCTGGTGTGACAGGGCGTGGTAGATTGGTAAGCGAGGCATTTCCCTACATGCTTTTAGACCATTGTGTTTATACCAGGAAACCACACATGGGCACGGAGTAACTGCTTTGTACGAACAATTGGTGGCCTTCGTGGGCAATCTTAACCATTGCTTCCCTGAGTGTCTGAGGCACCGCAATGCGTTCACCGCGGAGAACAAGCCTATCAACTAGACCAGTTCGTTGAAAACGTTAGAGTACTTTCTCATGTCTGCGTCTTTATGATCTATACACTTCTCTTCGACACACTGAATCAGTTTCTGCAATTCCCTGTCATTTCCCGTTGACACGATTATTTCTTCCTTGCTTATCGCTTTTTTTTTGAAAAATAAGCTCATTTTCCGGTTAAAAAATAATCGTATCATCTTAGAATTTCATTTTTTGACTCAAAACGCTTATTAAGGGAAAACAAAAAACGATCACACCCTGAGCTTGTGTCAATTAAAAATCGTTTAGATTATGACAGGTGACACACAGCCTCCGTATAAGGTGCCTGATTTTTAGCCTCTGTTTCCACTGTTACGCCATCCACAAAAAAAGAAAGCAAACTATTCAGTACAGAAAGTCCAGAATCTGGGAAATGAAAGAAGATAAATGTACAAAAAGCCTCGCCCAGAATCAGGTCTTGGCGATTTTTCATATACGCCGGATATTCAGAAAAACGTTTTACCCAAATTTATAAAGCTTTGTTTTGAGGGGCACAAATATGGCCGCCGGAAACCAACAGAAACATCTGTTTTTGAGTTTTTCTAGCAGTGCGTGAATTCATTGCTTGAGGAACTAAAGATTAATGTAATATTTATTCTGAGACAAGGAATGCTTAGATAGCAAACTCTCAAAAATGGGTAACGTTTTTAACCCACATAAGAGCTTTCCCGGCCGCCAGCTAAATGCCGCGTGACGCAAAAGCCTGAGAATTCAAGCGTTCTCTATCGGAAAACAAAGAACCCCTTTCGAACCGAAAATTTGTACAAATAAAGGTGTTTAGGTGCTGTGATACCTAATGAAAGTAGAAACTTAGAAGAATCGCTAGTTCTTTCCCTTAGTTTGAATTTGGTAAATAGCTATCAGTTTTTCAGTGTTGAGTCTCTATTACTTGAAATCCCGACTTTACGTACTTAGTTTTTCGAGGTATTGAAGCTCGTGTTTTTGTCCGAAAATGCGCGCAGGTCATTTTGCATTTAGTGGTCTTATTGGCCACTTGCACATCTCCCATAACGCACGTAAGAAAGTAAGTAAAACGGAAGCCCGGCAGAAGATTGATTTCGGCAAGTCGGCGGGCCTTCCCGAGCCGGAAGCGGCACGAATCGTGTTAACCTTTTTATCCCATTTTAAGTGATGGCCGTGAGCGTTTCTAGTACTTACTTTTCTAATACAATTTATCCGTTTATATACGCCAGGACAGGAGTGTGGCACGGATAAATCCTGTTTTCAAATGTAATTTCCTAAAATACTCAGATGAAAGTGTTTGCAAAAGTGGAAACTAAGGGTGGAGCAAAGATAGAAGACGCTGTAACAGAACGGATGCAAAGAAACTCATAAAACCACTTTCTAGGAGGGCCAAGCAAAGACACTAGTGCTGGATATTTTTTACTTTTGTTAGTGGTTTGCTGTTTGTTTGGTTTTTTCGTGAACTTTGCTTTCAGGTTACTAATTTACAGGAAGAGGAAGCAACGAATGAATGGATGGATGGATGGATTAGTCGATGGATGGACGAAGGGACGAGGGAACGGATAGATAGCCTCCCCGCAGACGTCCTTTGGGGTTCTTTTGTCACGCATTCATTTCTTCCCCACGGACGTCGTCCGTGGGGAGAAATGAATGCGTGACAAACGAACCCCAAAGGACGTTTGCGAGGAGGCTAACGGATAGACGGATGGACGGATGATGGATGATACTGAATATCAAGTCCACAATGCAATGTTTCTGGAAAAAAAGTTTTCATCTGGATAATCTCATCATAGATTTTCTCCCACAGACTAAATCGTTTACCAGTCGTGTAAAAACGCTCACTAAAAGGGTAACACTACTTTTGAACTAACTGTTTGAATGCAGAGGTCCACGCAACACTTAAATATAACTGACCGGTTCCTCTTGCCGGATCTCTAATTAAAGAGATGCTGTAGCCAGACGTCACTTAAAGTGTAAAGTAAAACAAAACTGAATGCAGAGCTGGCACTACGGCAAAGGGCTGATTTATTATAGGCCAATATTTCGGCTAAAAAAATTAGCGTTCCTCAGCGCCAGAGCTATACCGAGAGAAAATATCTTTTAACGGCTCCTAAAATTTGAATTTAAAATTCTCATTAGGTGGTTAATAATTAACTACAATTATAGACACTAGATGGAAAAATATACAGGTAAAGGATTTGAACGGTTGCATTTCGTCCTCAGGTGAAAAGTTAGGAACTCGCATGGCATCGGGATTGGATGTAAAAATTACCATACTAAAATAGTAGTTCATTAAACTTGAGGCAAAAGAGAATAAAGAGAACCGTAGAGCATAATCGACACAAAGCAATGGCAACTAGGACAAGTTA